CCTTCTGGGGCTCTTCTGAAGCTTTCCAAGCCTCAAAAGAGCCCCAGAAGGTGGTGATTTTGGCCCCTCTGACCCCGGGGGGGCAAGGTGAGTCTCTAAAGGGTCCTGGAACACACTCTAGGACCCTTTGGAGGCTCACCCTGCCCCCCCACCGGGCTAGAGGGGGTGAAATTGCCACCTTCTGGGGGCTCTTCTGAAGCTTTCCAAGCCTCAAAAGAGCCCCAGAAGGTGGCGATTTTGGCCCCTCTGACCCCGGGGGGGGCAAGGTGAGTCTCTAAAGGGTCCTGGAACACACTCTAGGACCCTTTGGAGGCTCACCCTGCCCCCCCCCCCGCCTTTCTTATGGAGCGAAAAATACGGTATTTATAGTGTAAAATCACTACAGATCCTTTCATATTGCTGCTAACATATACCTCTTTTGAAGTTATGTAATGATTATGTATTGTGTTTTTCTTAAAGGTATTAATGAACCTTCGGAATCCAAATTATGAAAACAGCGAGCAATCTAGTTTTAGGAACCATTTGGGTTTAATCCAGGTTCCCTTGAAAGTAAAGGATATCCCTGAACTGGTAAGTATTCATTACCTCAAAAATAAGTTTCTCCCTTTTTAAAAAAAGTTGATAGGAATTAAATATATAATTGTTTTAACTATGGGCACTGAAACAATTTGTTTTTAATGTATACAGCATTTGAGAATTTGACCTGTTATAAAGGGCTGTTCAGCATTCAGAGGGTATCTTTAAAGAAAATACTTGATAGGCACTTAGGACTAATAAAACATGCATATTTTACCAGTGATTTCTGGAAGTTGTTAGGATATCCACGAAGCGCTGTTCTGTTAATTGCATTTTCAGCTGAGATGTAGGATTATAAAATATTCTTCAATAGGGAATTTATTATTGTTGTTGTTGTTTAGTCATTAAGTCGTGTACGACTCTTTGTGACCCCATGGACCAGAGCATGCCAGGCCCTCCTGTCTTCCACTGACTCCCAGAGTTTGGTCAAATTCATGTTGGTAGCTTAGATGACAGTGTCCAACCATCTCGTTCTCTGTTGTCCCCTATCAGTCTGTTACAACTATCTTGCCTTCACACTTTTCCAACATCAGGGTCTTTTCCAAGGAGTCTTCTCTTCTCATGAGATGGCCAAAGTATTGGAGCCTCAGCTTCAGGATATGTCCTTCCAGTGAGCACTGAGGTTTAATTTCCTTCAGAATGGAATTTCCTTCAGAATGGATATTTTATTGTACTATAGGTCATATTAGTCTTAGTCCGTGTTTGTGTTCACCTTACATATTTATATATTTTATATATGTGCATTTGTGTGTGTGTGTGTGTGTGTGTGTGTGTGTGTGTGTGTATTTATTTATTTAACTTATATGCCACCCACTCTACCCAAAGGTCTCTGGGCGGCTTACAACAATTAAAATTCGATTAAAATACAATAAAAGATAAAATGATTAAAATACATTTAAAATTGCCATCAATTTTAGCCTTGAGAAGACTGGTAGGAGATATGAAAACACTTTTCAAATACTTGAAAGACTTTTACACTGAGGCGGGACAGGATGTGTTCCCAATCATCCCAGAATGCAGAACACACAATAATGGACTCAAGCTACAGGAAGCCAGATTTCCACTGAATATGAGAAAGAAACTTCTTAAAAAAGAAAAGGGCCCCCTGGTTAGATCTTAACTGTATATGTCTGCATATACAGAGGTGTAGATCATTTCTTTAAGTCAGTTATCTTATGCAGCATGGGACACACTGTTAGTTGATAGCATAGCCTATCCTTTACTTGCAGTAGACCCAAGTTTCAGCACTAAACATCTCTGTTAAAAGATTAAAGGTAATAGGTATGAAGAATTTAGGCACCCAAATGTCTTACCAAGCGCAAAGGGTTCTTTTGAATTCAAGAGATAACACATTCTAGTTAAGAGAGGTCACCAAATATTGTTAAAGAGAAACCAGAAAGAAAAACCTTAGTGAAATGAGTATTATATATATAATGCCATGTTTCCTGGAAAATAAGACAGGGTCTTACATTAATTTTTGATTTAAAAAACACATTAGGGCTTATTTTCAGGGGATTGTTTTATGTACAGCAATCTACATTTATTCAAATACAGTTACGTCATCTGGTTGCTTCACAAGGGTGGAGGGTCAGGTTTCTCTTAACAGGCTTATTGGGGTAGGGCTTATATTATGAGCATTCTGAAAAAATCATACTAGGGCTTATTTTTAGGTTAGGTCTTATTTTTGTGGAAACAGGGTGGTGTCCCTAAATAGAAATACTATAATGTAACAAAGACAAAACAAAGCCTTGGGAGCCCCAGAAACAAATAGTAGGTTATTCTGTTTGCCCTTGTCCAAACTGGTGTGCACAGCACCAGCTGGCTGTGACCTGTGCTAAGGCTACGCAACAAAGGCCTCAAGGGTATTTGATACCTCGGAGGCAGCTAACATCTGCATCCTGCCTAGAATCACAGCATATTCCTTCTTAATTGGCAATATGATTGAAGAATAGCTCACTAATCAGTACAGTGATAAAAAAAGTATCTCACTAATTAGCAAAATGATCACATATGTATCTTTAAAATACTTGTCTAAGGAGCTAAGGGATAACAGTTTTCTTTCCTAGTTCTAGGTGTGTTGAATTAATTGGTCTTGGCTGGCACAGCTGAGATAAACATATGCTTTCCCAGATGATAACCACATACCTTCACAATAAACACATGGCTTTCTTGGTAAATTATTTGTCAGGTCAAGCAAAGGACATGAGAGGAGAAATGAAACTATAAAACACAGCTGTGAAAGAGGCATCTTCTGCTTAGACTAACAATAGCCAATTAAGATCTAAACAAAGATGGAAGCCTATGAATATAAGCACATAGATAAAATCAGGTTTGGGCAGAGAGGAAATATTGTGACACACCATACTACACCTTTTTACTGTACAATAATCTTCCACTATGGCACTATAATGAGAACTTGTGGAATTGCTGTTGGAGCACAGTTGGCTATACATTTCCTTAACAATCAGTTAATTCTTTGAGCTGGCAGCCTTCCATCCAAGGGTCAAAAAGTTTGTACTTCAATGTCTTGACCTTTATTTGCAGTGCAATAGGGAATGAAAAAAGGTCTGTGGGCATCTTTTATCTGCAGAGAAGGTACTCACAGGCCTTTCTAGTCTTCTTTGTAGAAGTGCTTCCAGCTCCTTTATCTGTTTCTTTGAAGGTAAACTTGTTTCCCAGGGGCAAGGTGGAGATCATGACATTGTTCAAGATGGAGACAATATGAAAATGTGAGGTTTCCGGCTTCTGGTAGGCTGTGCTAGCCTTGGCACTGCTTATAAGAATTCTTGATTGGGCCGATGGCATAGCTGGACACCTCTACTTCAAACTCATGGCCTACCCATATTTCATAATGAACTGTGCTAGGTGGTTTGATGTATTATGAAGTAACTTTATGTGCCTATAGTTAATAGCAGTGTGAAGATATGTTGGAAATTAATTGCCATTTAAATAAATCTTCATAGTTATTAATAAAATTCCTTTGTTTTTATTAATGTTTCTGCTGCTTCAGAAAGAATATTTCAGTGAACTAGACTTGAACATAGGTCAGCTGGATATTGATGATTCTGCACAAGTACCTCCAGGTTAGTGAGTCTGTTTCATACATTATAATATAGTTATTGTTTCTTAGAAAGATTCTTGTAAAATATGAAATATTTGCCAATACTAGATCTAAAGAGAGTTCTTAGCAAAAACAATGGAAGAAACCAGACCCTTGATATCTCCATAGCTCCCTTTAGGTTAGGAATTAGCAATTTTTTTAATTTTTATTTTTATTTTCAAAACTATTGGGGAATAGAGAAGGAATACAAAAGGTAAAGGGCAGTGGAAGGGGTGGGAAAAGGGTTTTGAGTATAAGAGGACATCAGATATATAATCATTCAATCTTTTCATATCAAGTATATAAACATATAATCTATTCATATTCCAGTAAAAGCTCATCTTTCTTCTTCTTCTTCTTCTTCTTCTTCTTCTTCTTCTTCTTCTTCTTCTTCTTCTTCTTCTTCTTCTTCTTCTTCTTCTTCTTCTAACTATTTTGTCTATGTATTTACCCCTTTAGCTTTCAACTTACACTTATAACACAGCTTAAATCTAAGTTATTCCAACACCATCAGAACACCCAGGCCAATTGTGAGATATATCCCCTCTTTCACCCTACTTATAACACAGCTTAAGTCTAAGTTATTCCAACACCATCAGAACACC